ACATCTTTACATCTTTTAGACATGCGTGTTGCTGGGAACAACTTCAAATGCTTCAAGTGGATGATAATTGTTACATATATCTAAAAATCTAGAAATAAATGTCTAAAAGCAAATCTGAAACTCGAAGACTATCCTTGAACGTAGAAATAAAATTCGAAAATTGTTTCTGAAAATATAATTGTTGGGAGAAGACTTTGAACGAGCAATAAGTTCCCGCCCTTCTAGAGGGCAGCCCCCGGTTGGCGGCGCGACTCGGCGCGCCACGCGTGCGTGCGGGCATCAGTGGTGCTCACAAGAGCCTCGATCACCATCGTGTTCAGACGTGTCGGTTACGGTTTAAGTTACAGAGTGTGATATACTTATATATAATAAAGATAGTATTCAGAGTGTACAAAGACCAAGATTGTTGTGTTCCCTGCTCATCTCACCACATTTCAAGTCGTCCCTGATTATATTTCCAATAGGTTATGGGCCCAGGGCACGATTCTTCTGCGTGAGGAACATAGCACGAAAGTGTATATACGAAGTGTGTGAAACGCCGGCGAAGGGCATAGAAAGAGATAGAAGCATCTAAAAGATTAGAGGGTGAGTAAATAATATTCCTCGTTGCTGACGAGCAAAACGAGAGAATTCTCAGTTAATAAGAATGTTCGTTCGATAAATACTGTTACAAGGAGATAGATGTTTTTGCCATTTTTCTCGAGAAATAGAAATAGAGGTAATAATGGTAATAAGAGAATTAGAGAATAGATGTGTAAAGTGTAATAAAGAAGTAGAGAATAATGAAGGAAAAAGAGATAGAAAAATGCCGCTTGGTAGCAAGTCGGCGACGTGCGCGTGCAAGTCCGATCGTGAACGGCGAGAGTCATTTCTTTTGGCGCGCGGAATTTTTGGCGCGCGGAAGTCCGATCGTAGACGGCGAGAGTCATTGTTTTTGGCGCGCAGAACTTGTTGCTGGGCGCGCACAAACACATAATCGATTTCGACTAACAACATGGCATCGATGCTAGATGGCTAGATTACGATACATGTAAATGTATGCGTATGCTAGATGGCTAGATTGCGATACATGTAAATGTATGCGTATGTATAAAAACTCTATATGACTCTATATGAGTTTATTTTTTTTGAAATCGATATGTATCGGGTCGGTAATTGAGCATGACTTGCTGTGCGGTGTAGCTTGATTACTGTTTAGGGAAGCCGCGTAAATTTGTATGGGCCCCGTGCGTGTGCGTGATCAACCCGAGCTCCCATAGATCTTTTCAGCAGTGCTGGGGATCGCAACGGACAGTGGTGTGTGCGTGCGGATAGCCCTGCAGAGGCGCGTGGTTTTCTCGCTTTGGGGTTATTGTGAATTGCAGTGCGTTCTATATAGCCTCATAAGCATTAAATTTTTATCGCTGAAAGAGATCTAGTGATAGAAATTGTAAATTATTATTTGTCAATACGAATGTTGGTTTATCTTGTCAAAAGAGGAATGCTAATGTTCAGTTGATATTTAAATCCCGATATAGATGGAAGAAGAAGAAGGCCAAGATGCGCTGGTCGACTACGACAGCGATAGCAGCTTTATCACGGTAATAGATAAAAAAGCAAAAAATAAAAACGAGGAGACAGTAAGAAAAGATAGAGGTAAGAGAGTATTTTTTTTTGAAAATAAAGTAGTCCAGAAGAATAATATATATATGCATTCAGAGAAAATAAAAATAGTAATTTCAAAATTCCGTATAGAAGCAAAAGACAAGAAGGAGACTGAAGCAAAGGGTGCAATCCCGAAACGCGGCAAACCAAAGATAATAGAAAACATAGATGTGAATAGAGAATGGGCTGAAAATCGTCCTGTACTACCTATAGGGACAAAGATACTTTACGAGAAACAAGAAAAGATGGTTGAGAAAATGGACAATTCGATGCAGATGCTGGATAAAGTAATGACGAAGGCCACCGAGATGATGGAGAATATGGTGGAAGTCTCCCGTTTAAACTTAGAGAAAGAAAAAGTTAAACTTAGACGTTTAGAGGTAAGCAATAAAGATACCCAAAGTTCAGTAGAAAACAGTAAACAAACGGTTAAAGAACTAGAGGTAGAGTCTAAAAAGAGAAAATTAAATGAAATAACAGTCTGTTCAGCCGAAAAAGATAGGAGTTTAGAGACAATGAAAAGAGCTATAGAATTGGAATTGAACAGTCAAAGGTTGCATATTAGAAGAGAATATAAGCTGACGCAAAAATCCAACTTTGATCTTTGGATGGATTATTTAAAATCTGAGTTAATGAATAACGAGTTGTTAGATGTAATAGATTCAAACATTGAAAGTCCAGAAAATCTCTCCGAACTAAAAGTTGCTAAGAGAAAAAGTCTTGTTAGAGATATAATAATCAATCATTTAGATGAAAACTATCATAAAAGGATTCTACATGAAAAAGATCCGAAAGAAATTTTGAAGAAATTGAGAGGATATAAAAAGAGTGAAGTAAACGTTACTCATGCATCGGTACGAGCTAAACTCTATCAAATTAAAATGAGAAAAGACGAAAAAGTAAGTGATTTTTGTGAACGCTTCGATTCAATAATTAGAGAATATGAATCATGTGAAGATGCGGTACCCCTCACAGAACAAGAGATTAGATCTGCACTTTATCAGGCTGTGTCAATTAATGTACCAGAGCTGAGGAATGTAGATTTAATTAGAAGACAAACTAATCTTAAAGAAATGAACATAGATGAAATAAAGTCTTTTATGATGCAGTTAGAAGCAGAGACTAAAAACGAGAATAAAGAAAAATTAGAGAAGCCCGAAGTCAGGGTACAGAGGGCTGCTGCAGAAGAGAACATGAAACAAGTGAAATGCTACAGATGCAACCGAATGGGTCATATGGCAAAGGACTGTCCACTAATAGAATTTGGTGCCTGGTTTTGTTGCTACTGCCAGGAAGTACGAGGTCACAAGGGTGATAATTGTCCGAGTGCCGAAGCCCAGGCGAACAGAGCTAGAGGAAAAAGATATTTAAATAAAACCGTTAATAAAAACATAAAGAAAAAGGGTAGATTTGTGCAAAAAGGCACAAAAAGAGTAGATAACAAAGGGAAAATAACCAAGATACAACCAGCTGAGAAACCTATATCAACGAAAACAGCAAATAAAGGAGAATCAGAAGAAGGTAAATAATACATGGTTAAATTAATAGAAGATAGAGATAGTTCAAAAGAGGTAGTCAATTTTACTGCAGATTCGGGTGCTACGGATCATATTGTGAATAAGAATTTTATTCTGTCAAAATTTGAAAAATGTAAAGATAGAGTTATTAAATGCGCGAATAAAAATGAGCTTGCAAACATTTTAATAGATGGTAAAGGAAATCTTACGCTAATAATGAATGAAAAAGAAAAGAGAGTCATTAAATTAACAAATGTAATTGCAGCAAAGAAAGTATCCAAAAATTTACTATATCTAAGAAAGTTGGCTGATGCAGAGTTCAGTATTTATTTAGATGATAAAGTGTTTAAAGTTTACAATAAATTGACAAATAAAATAGTTTTTAAAGGAATTTACAGATGTAGAGCAGAAATTGTTCCACATAGTGAGCTTCCTGAACAATCGCAAGCAAACATTCAGACCAATGAATTATCAATTTCGGAGGGAGAGTTAGATGAGAGGGATAATGTTGGCTCTGCGATTGGGAGGGAGAATGAAGGAGAGCTCACAAATGTGAACGAAAATATAGAACACAATAATGCTGAACTCGATCAAGTCATTAAGTTAGAAGATATACAGACAATAGAGAATATAGAAGAAATGTGTGAAAGCTCAGTAATTGAAAAAGTAAAGAAACTAGAGAAAATAAATGAGGTGATGTTATGGCATGTTAGATTAGGTCATGCATCGTTAAACTATCTAAAACAATTACAAAAAGTAGAAAAGAGATTAGAAAATGTAAAGTTTGATAACTTTATATTAGAGTGTGAAGTATGTATAATGGCAAAGATGGCAAAACTGCCGTTTAAAGAAAACAGAAATAGAGCACAGAGACCACTACAGGTAATACATACGGACATCATAGGTCCAAAACCTACATCCTATCCAGGACAAAAGAGGTTTATAATCACTTTTATAGATGACTATTCTAGATTAGCAAAAGCCTACTCTCTGAAAACAAAAGATGAATCGGGAGAGGCTCTAGAGAAATATCTTATATCCGCCAGAAATCTACTAGGAAAAGAAGAAAAGCTATGCTATGCAAAGTCAGATCAAGACAAAGAAGTTGCAGAAAGGTTCAACAGAACGTTGAAAGAGAAAGTAAGAACATATATGCTCGACTCGGGATTACTAAAGAGTATGTGGGAGTTGGCAGTTGACGCTGCTGTGCATGCGTACAACAGATCTCCACATAAGACTTTAGAGTATGAGATCCCGTTGAAGAAGTTTTCATCAGAAACAAGTTGTCATTTTGAACAAATAAAGAAATTCGGATGCATTGGATATGCAAGAGTACCAAAGCCTACGTCGAAATTCGACAAGACAGCTATTGGTGTGTTGGTGGGATATACTGACACTGGATATATACTATATACTCTGGTATCCAAGCACGAGAAAATTTATAGAGTCATGACAACAGAGCAGCAAGAAACTGCACTAAGATGGATAGAAGTCACAAACTTAAAATGTTTGATGACGACTTAGAAGAAATAAAGAAAGACTTAGAAGAAAAAGAAGAAACTGGAAACAGAAAACATATGGATAACACTCATGGAGATTTTATCAAGCAGTGTGTTGATTAAGGGAAGGTAAAAGTCGAATGGATAAAGACCAAAGAGAATTTGGCAGACATTATGACAAAACCTTTACCTCTAGAAGCATTTGTGTATCTGAGAGATAAAATAATGAATATGGAGTTTAGACAAAGTTAGAGATTAATTTTAGTCGATAACTAATTCTTGTTATGTTTCAGATAAAGAGGAAACTTAGAGAGGATCCGTGGATCGCTCGCCCAAAGGGAGGGAGTGTTGGGAGAAGACTTTGAACGAGCAATAAGTTCCCGCCCTTCTAGAGGGCAGCCCCCGGTTGGCGGCGCGACTCGGCGCGCCACGCGTGCGTGCGGGCATCAGTGGTGCTCACAAGAGCCTCGATCACCATCGTGTTCAGACGTGTCGGTTACGGTTTAAGTTACAGAGTGTGATATACTTATATATAATAAAGATAGTATTCAGAGTGTACAAAGACCAAGATTGTTGTGTTCCCTGCTCATCTCACCACATTTCAAGTCGTCCCTGATTATATTTCCAATAATAATGAATTATTACAAAATATATGTAATCAACACAAACGTATAAAATATAAATTGCAGAACAATATGTTATAGCGAGTTTGATACATTCGTTGTATGTACATACATATATGCGTTACAGCAAACACTTTTTATCTCGTCGCGAGAAAAACTCCACTAATATTTCGTGTGTGATAGAGTTTTCAAATTTAACAAAAGCGAGAAATACGAGTCGAATAATATTCAAATCTGTAATAAGTCACGATCGCGTTTAATGACTGATTGTAACTTGAAATGGAAGATGTAGGGAATATTGCAATTCTCGGAGTTTTGAGTGTCGACGTACTGCAAATCGCAATAATTTAATTATTTTAAAACAGAAGCCAAAACGCCTTAGAATCTTGTCCCGTTAATGACGCGAGTTTTTTTTATGGGAAATACGCTTGGTTTTGAAATTCAGAAATACTCGACACGGATTAGGTGAAAAGATTTGCATAAGTATTTTTATTACAATACCTAATAATTAAAACAATATTTACATTTGTACACGATTCAATACACTCATCTTATCTTATACGAAAAATTATGTCATATCATGTCGTAAGTACTTCGAGCAATGCGTACAGCACTGAATTTGTCCCATTGCAGGATTCAAAGAATTGTCAAATTAAAATGTGTCATGTAAGCATTATCAATTTTGCAATAATTCTTTCTTTCTCTTTCTCTCTTTCTACCGATTTTCTCTTGTCGATTTAAACAAAAAATTTTAGACAAATATTTCAGAACCAAGCACTTGCGAGTATCCGTTTGCATGAATCTTATTCGTTTCCTTCTTGTTCGTCTGCCTGTTTAAGAAGATACAATTCTGAAATTTATTGACAAAAAAAATATAGATTAAATTTCCTTGATATTTTAAATAAATTATAGGCGATATATTCCATCATAACGCAGCTGCCACATATCATTCGCCAGTCAATGAAACATGTTTCGCTCGCATTTAATTTATGATGCTTTCTGACGTAGCAAAACTATACTATTGTACAACTTAATCGCAGGTCCGAGTCGCAGACGTAGTACTGATACCAAATCCTCTTGAGTCAACATTAAAAATGCCTCGCCATCAATATTCTGCAATAATAACATATACAATTAGTTACTTGAGCTAATTGTTGATATAATTGTACTTTCTTTAAAACTTACGTTCTGCCTAAAGACATTTCCAGCTTCGGCACAATTAGGCATGCTCTGTATAAATTTGATCACTTCTTCATTAGACCATCGTCGCGGATTCGTAGTCTGCCTTGATACTACTCTATTTAAGGCATTGCTATGTTTCGCCCATATATGTGGTGCATTCGGCAGAGGATTGTATCCCGGATTATATACAGATTGGTACAACTCTTTACGCAATTGCTTGACCGGTATATTTGCAGCATATGCGGTGGTACTACTCCAATGAAGATCGCCATACGTAACATTGGAAACGGTAAACAAAGACTCTTCCAAATTTGGATGTCTGAAAATATATTAACTCGTTGAATTGTAATATTATGCGAGTATGATTAGATATGAGAGAAATTCGCTTTTATGATTTCAGTAACACACCTTTTCTTCCGTTTTCTCGAAATTTCATCATCATCCGTTTGTCCATCGCTGTGGAGATTCTTAAACTTGTTGGATCTGAAACGGCAAAATGATATAAATAAGTAGCGATTATTTCACCATTATTCGCTATATTGATAATGTTATATGCTATATACAACATACTTGTCTGAATTTTCCGATCTATTTTCAGATTTGTCATTCTTATCCGATGAATCTCCATCTTCCTGCTTAATCTCTTTTTCGATCATTAACATTCCATCATCTGAGAACAAAAGTTTATCGGACTTCTCAGGCTTTTCTATCTTTATTCGGTCAGTCTTCTCTAGTTTTATTTTTTCCTGTATCTCCCCTTCATAATCATAGGCTTCGTGAGAGTCGTGGTTTTTCGACAAGTTGAGTCTATCAGGCATCTGACCCGATTTATTTAGATTTTGGGGAGAATACGGACAACCTGATGCTGAATTATGTGTTAGAAATTTAGGTCCTCTTACATGTCCTATACCTCGGCAGCCGTATGTGCCACATTCCGGTCGATCATTCAAATTATCGGGTGCTACGCAATAATGAAAATAAATCACATTGCACGTGGAAATTATAATATACGAAATGTAAAATAAGCTAGCTTACTAAGTGGTGGTTCCAGTGGATGACCAGTTTTTGCACACCAGCCCACAGGATGAATGTCAGGTGAATCGTCGTCAACCCAATAGGCATGATTATCAGGCCAGCCATCGAATTTTATCTTTAATCTACATAAAAATATATATAATTATTATCCCGCAAAATAAAGATACTTAGAAAACAAGTGCAATCGATACAAACAGGTGGTCTTTTACATCCTCGACCGTTGCCACTCTGATTAGCTGTGGAACCCGCTTATCTACCGCTTCTAATTTCATACCACGTTTAAACGCACATGGTGGACGTTGTTTAAATGCCCTTGCCGGAGCAGCCACTGAGCCGGTTTCTCTCAGATACATATCCCAAGTGAAAGATTTAGGATCCTTATAATCTAATCATAAATATTACAATTACGTGTGGAACAATATAAGTAAATACGATATATCAGGCCTGTCTAACCGCCAGGAACGAAGAAGCCGATCTCACGCCTACCGCTTCGGACTTTCCACGTTTTTCCGTAACAACCGATGTAGCTTGATGCTGCGTCGTGTCGTAAATGTTCTTATTTACGCATAAAGCAGTATAGTATTAATAATATCTCGCTATGTGTTATACGACTTCTTCAGACAATAATACAAGTTACAATGTCCTTTTACATATGCGTCGTACCATAGAAGCAGTAAGCAATATTTTATAAAACGCACGTGTTCATAAGACAAAGCTATTGGCTTCTCCACCCAGAATCTGGAAACGCTTGTCGCGCCGCAAAGAGCGACGCGGTAGCCAATCAACGTGCCGCTTTTCCGTAAGAACCCGAAGTTTATTGACTACATCGCTTCTTGCCGTGCGGCAAGCATTTCTGCGTCCTATGTGCAATAGCCATAGGAGCCCGAGCTCCGAGGTAGAGGAAAGAGCCACGAGTAGCTCACGAGGGCCGCGAGTTAGACAGGCCTGTGATATATTGTAATGCGTTAATTTCAAATTTCTTACTATTCGGTGGCATCAGGACGCGTCCATTGTGATGAGACCATCCGACAGGATGAATATATGGCGAACTTGCGTCAGCCCAGTAATCATACACCTCGTCCCAAGAATCGAAATGGACTAATATTCGAGAATCCATTAAACCTGCTATGCTAGCGACGCAAAGTAATGAAGAATGCTTCCTATCCACTGCCTCTAACTTCATGCCCACGCGAAAGCCTGTGGTAAAGACGGTTTGGAGCGCGCCTTTATTCGGAAATAGATTCTTCGCTGCTACAGATGCTTTACAGATTTTTAAATATGCATTCCAATTAAAAGTTCCAGATGTATAACCCTTTGGTGGATTTAATTTTTTGCCGTTCTTCTCAGACCAACCGGCGGGAAATATATTCATGCTATCTGCATTTATCCAGAAATCATAATTTTCTGGATAACCGTCGAAATGCAAACGCATTCGATAACCTAAATAACGTTATATATCTCATAAATTTCATGTTGTAATATGTACTGTAGTATGTACATGGTCTTTAATGACTTACCTACAACCTCGGCAATAGTCAGAACACAATACCGAGAAGGATGTTCCGGATCTATACCTTCCAATTTCATTCCAACTCTAAAATGATTTTTACTGTAGGGAAAGGGATCTTTGAATAACTTAACAGGCGCCGCTTTTGCTTTACAATGTTCAAGATACTTCGGCCATGAAAAACCTAGCTTTCCTCTTTGCCAAGGATACTGCACATAAAATGAGATTAAGAAATTAAGTTAACATGTATAATTTTTAACACGTTCAATTTAATTTAATTTAATATTTTAACTACTACATTTGATTTACCTTCGATTCTGAGGAATCTCCTTGGATCTCATCATCCATACCCGCTATTGCGTCTTTTTCCTCATCCATCTCCAATTTTATTTTATCATGTGTCTTTTCATCAGACCTTTCATCCATCTCCTTTGGCCATTGTGGTTCTTGTAATAACCTTTTGCGTTTCTTTTTCATGCGCACTTCCCTGTACAAACAATCATGTGAATAAGTCTTATAATTTCTTAATTATTATACATTGAGATTTATATATAAAATACATACTTTAGATCCTTGTCCTTTCGATTTGCAGATTGTTTTTTAGCCTCCATCACTTCTGTGCAGGAAGGACTACACGATATTGGACTTTCAAATTCAGCAGCCAATCCGTAACATCCACAAGCTTCACAATGATACACGGTATCTGCACTTACCGATCTAGATTTTCTATCCTCAGCTAAATTAAATGTGTTTCATTATAGTAACGTGTAGATATTTATATCTAAAATATTTATCAGAACATACTATTGGTTAATCACCTTTTTTCTCGACATTAGTATTATTAACGATTCCTGGGCTGGTCTTTGAGGAATTTTGTGTTAAACATACATTTTCTTTGTCACCAATACCGTCCTTATTCTGTTTATTACTCTCATCTTCATCTACTACTTCCATGATGCCAAATTCATTCATACGAAACTATAAAAAATATGTAAAAAAAAACTAAATAACGAAAGTATTCAATAAAAATATTCAATCTTGCTATATGTACACACTTGTGTTTTTAAATTAATGTTACTAGTTACTATATATATTTCCTTTACCTGTAAGTTACTTCCAGGTAAAGTACCGACACCATCTTTCCAATCTAAAACTTTAGATGCATCAAAATTCGTATTGTTCTGATTCAGAGTATTCAACTGTTCTTTTGTTTCCTCATAATTGTTACTCTTTGCTTCACTCTTATTGTCTGGCACTGTTTCAACATTCGTTGGAGTTTTAATTATTTCAATTTTTATATCATCATCCATATTCGTATTAAGTTTTGGAACTTTATCCTCACTAGGAATAACTTTTATTAACGTAATGTCATCATCATTGTGAGCCTTCTTATCTTTGTCTTGTTCACACTCTGGACTGCTCAATGCGTAATTGGCATCAGCCAGACTGTCTTGAGGAGATTTTGGGATATTCTGCTTCTTCAACCGTTTCTCAGTAGAACCTCGTAATATGTTGCTAATTGTCTTTTTTCGCTTTTCCGGTTGATTATCTTCCTTCTTCGGAATTGGCGTGATAACAGCTGAATCTGGGTTTTCAGTGATTTTTATACTGTCTATGGAATTAGAATTACCCTTATTTGCATTTAAAAGACTCATTTTTGCTATTGGATGTAGCGGTGGAGGATGTGTCGTTGAGTTTGTCGTTTTTGACTCACGTAACACTACATTGCGCAACGCAATAAAAATATTTTATATTTTTACTTCAAAGTAATATACCAAATAATTATGCTAATTAGAAATTTATTTCTATACCTGTTATGGTACCTTTGCTCTCTGTGCTCAGTTGACCATTATTGATTTTTAGGTTGAACATGCTAGGTTTTGTGCTGCAACTTTGCTGGGGAATGTTCACTGGCAATATTAAATTCGCCATGTGTTTAGGAGGTTGACTCTGAGAGCTTGTAGTACTTGTGGATTGAGCTAATTGCGATATTACTGGAGTAATTACTAATTTGGGCTTAGTTATCTGAGTTGGTGTTAGAGCCCCTATTAGAATACAACACTAAATAAGTAAATGCGCAGTCTTCGACCAAAATTTAATCGATATTTGATATATCAAGTATTAGGTTTTTTTATATTATATAAATTGACAAATTGTAAAGTAGCTATTTGTAATATTACAAAAATTCCTTACCTGCAGGTATAACGACAGATTCTCGTGACTTGTTAGGCTTAATGAGAGTTCCTAGATATGCAAATGTATGCTTTCCCACTTGCGCATTGGTTTGATTTCCTTGCGTTGTATTCAAGGGTACTATCTGAGCAGTAGATGTCGACTTTCTAAGTAAAATGTGTTTTTGAGCCTGTGAAGTCGCCGCAGTGCTCACAGTATTTATTGGACGATGAATGACGATGTGTTGTTTACTCTGAGACGTAGCTACCTGACTTGGTCCTTGTATAAATACTTTATTTTGTCCAGTCACAATCTAGAATAAAAGTTAAGTTAGGTCTGTTCTTTTCCGAAGAACTTTTTTGAACCGAGGAATATTGGTGCAATAAGTTAGAATGAGACAAGTATATTTCGTTTCACTTTAACTTATTGCACCAATGTGCATCAGTTTAGGAAAGTCCTCGAAAAAGAACAAACGAAAATACCTCTTATTTTATCGAATTACAATGGCTACGTTCGCTTTGGGCACTTTCGTGCTGAAAGCGTCAGTCTATCTTTATTGCTCATTACATGTTGAAAAACGATGGAGTGATGCTTTCAGCACGAAAGCGTCCGAAGCGAACGCAGCCAATCTAGAATAAAAGTTTGATGGACTCGTCGTCTAAAACTGGTAGTAAACGTTAAAAACCACAATTTTGTCCAAAACTGAACTTCAAAAGTATTCAAATATGAGAATTTTTACATAACGTCCATATTTATTACAAATAACACTAAACTAATTCAATATTCACTTTTTATTTGTCAATGTACTTCGCACGATAAGATAGCACAGATATCATATAAAGTACTATAAAATTCAACAATTATAAGCATTTAAATATGTTTTCTCAACAAGAGAATTAATTTTATTTATACACATCTTTGACTTAATTCTCACTGAAGATTCATACTTCTGTTGACTAAATCTATATTTACATTTACTGAGAGATGCACAGATTCACCACTCATCACTGCTACCAGCTACACACACCTTGTAAGGCTACAAGACCTATATATGTATACTGAATATGACTTGTATTTAGAACTGCTACTTTTTGTTTTAACAATGCCTTATCCAATAATATCTACTCTCACCTATATGCATATATATATATTGTATATATATGCTATATACATATATATAGATATATGAAATATGGAATGCATTAAAATATGTATATTTAATTTTAGGTTATTGTAAGCAAACCGCTTGTACGTTCCACAATCACCCATATGATACTACATATTCCCCCATTATATTAAAACGCTTATGTAAGAGATACAGGCTACAAACATTGATATAACTGTAATCTACGTAGAAAGGTTCTCAACTTTGCTATATAAATCACAAAGTACAAAGCCATCAGGATTAAGCAAGATATGGAGCAACCCATCACAGCACACGTACTGTGCACCATGCTTTCAATAATTACCTGGTTATTAACCGGATTAATAATGGCAGCGAGTTGGGTGCTAGGTGAAACAAGATTTTGATTTACGCTTGGCGATAGAGTAGAACGTACTTTATTTTGTTGGATGTACAGCAGTGGCATTACGGGTGTAGTCGTACCATCACTATGCTGCGTATCCGCAGTACTATTTTCATCAATATCGTCTACCACTATTTCCTCTTCCATTCTGTCAACAGAGAGTAAGTGATGGTCAAAGTGTGTATCACCCCTTCATCATTAAAAGTGTCTTATCGTATATCCAGTGCAGAACGACATTAAAAAAAAAAAAAAAAAAAAAGTAAAGTAAAATTCATGAGTTATCATAATTCGGCAAACTTTGTACTGTTCGAGACAAAAAGTGAAAAGTGTGAAGCTTGAAAATGCACGACATTATCTGATGATGTAGACGTTATATCTTCTCGTATAATTAAACAATTACGCGCACCACAACAAATTATTTCGCCCGATCAGTTTGGATAAAATCTCGTAAAATCATGAAATAAATCGCAACGTAATAACGTTCCATCGTCATTCAGTCTCGGTAAACAGGCAGGGTGCTAGACAAAGACTAATACACAATACACGACACTTTTCTTTTTCCCCTAAAGACCCAGTGCAACTTTACGAACCTAGCGGGCGTAGCGTTTATCATCGGCATATCGGCGTCGGTGCCAGTTACATAATTTGCGGAGAATCGAGATTCTCCGTCTGCGAAAAAGCGCGGACGTAGGGCGAAGGTGCTTATCGCGCGAATTCGCACCTCGGAGACGCCCGAGCGAGACACACTCGTCGAGAACGATCGTGTTCACGATTTTAAATGGCGCGCCGAACCGTCGGTGTCCGTGGTGTACGGCAGTCACGTTCCAACGTCACTTTTCACGCTTTGAAATTCACTGAAATTCACCATGGGCGAGACGACGGCGAACGTTTCGCGTGTCTCGCCAGCCGGGGGCGAGGAGGGCTCGCCAGTTTTTCCTATTCAAACGCGAAACTCGGCGAGTCGGCCGTCGCGCATCGCTCGGAGTCGCTCGTCGACCGAAGGGGGCACGACGCGCGTTGCGGCACGGCACTTTTCGGGATAACGGACGCGCGGCCCGATGCCGCGGCGGCGATTCGTCTCGTCGTCGATTCGCGCGGGGCACGCAATAGCCCGGTCGGCGTTTTCCCCGCGCGTCTACGAACCGTGAGCGATTCGTACACGCCGCTCGCGTAACTTTTAACACAAAAATATCCGCACACTCCTTTTGAGCGTTCGAGCCCTTGGTCGCCCGTACGCCACAGCTAGTCCCCATAGGCCGCACGCGCAGTGGCGACGGCGCGGCAGCGCGCCTCCCATTGGTCGCCGCAAGCCGCACAGTGAACGGATGCAGTCGCGTCGGCCAATCGGCGCCGCCCCAGCGCCGCCAACGTTCTTTCCGACGTAGTTTTCCCGACGTTTTTTTTTTTTTTTTCGAATAAGCGACCTGTCCCGTCCCCCGTCCCCCGTACCCCGGCCCCAGTTCCCCGTCCCACAATCCCACCATTCCCCATCCCCGCGCGGATCGTTTCGCGATCGCCGATCGTACGGATCGATACGATCGCATTGATCTTATTTATCGCGCGTTTATTCATTATCAACACGTATGTCTCAAATCGGGAGATATGACGTCTTCAAGACATCATTAAGACATCTTTGAGACATCTTAACACTAGAGCTACCAACGGCGTCAAAATGACCCATTTGACATTTTTTAAATAATTTATTAGGTACTTATTTTTTAAAACATCTTAATTTCTGAAATTTTCCTTGACTTTTATTGAAATTACATAGATGATTTTATTAATTTGTCTTCTCTTTTCTTTTTTTTCTAAAATTTCTTCGATAGAAATAAATCTAGATTAATCTTCGATAGTTCTAATGTTAATGACATATTATATCTTTAAGACGTCTTATTTCCAAATTTGAGACATTATGTTCACTGAAAGAGAGCTAGAGAAAGAAACAATATCTTTACGACGTAGTGCGCTTCTCGCGCGAACACTTTTACAAAGAAAAATCACGACAACTCGCATCGATTACATTTTACAAATGCCAGCGATACTAGGTCGGCGAATTAATATACCGAGCGTTTAGTAGAATTTAGTAGAAGCGTCAGATAGAACAGCAAGTCACAATAAAGTGAAATTGTGACTTTCTGTTCTGTCTGGGATGAAGGTCCCCAGACAACACGCATGTCTCAAATCGAGATATACGACGTCCTAAAGACGTCTCGTGATATGACGTCTTTAAGACGTCTTATGTCCCGATTTGAGACATTGTGTTCATCGGGTTTCCACTCGTGGGATAAAGTCTCGGTTCTCTCTACGACGCGACGCTACGCTGCGGCCATATCGACGCGAGCTAGAGTGGGAAAGCTATATAGCCATGATTACACCCCGCGGAATGCTCAATCTATATATACATATTATATATGTATATTATACATATATAGTTAAACATGTATATACCCGTACAGTGTGTAACACCGTGTTTTCAAACGTCAGCTGGCAGGCGATCGATTCATACGCAAATCGATCGGAGATGCGTGATTTCTACATCTCGATCGCGGGAACTAAATAAATTGACAGTATTGATACCCGCGTGTCAATCGAACTGCGTCTCGAACTGCTTCTCCGCGCGACACAATAAGATATACATAAATACGATCCTTTGTTACCTTTTCCCTCCCGCCGCTCTCTTATAAACTCTCTCGGAGCGAAACGAACATCTCCCCGCGTCTTCAAGCGAGAAAGAAACGGAGAGGTCGGTCCATTCCCGGTGTTCCCGAAATGCTTCGGACGCTCGCGTTTCCTCGTACTTCCGCGAAACGATTATCGTTAATCACACCGCCGCCAAAACGCCCACGAAGATCGAACATTTAACATCAGCTTGATTCTTGAAACACGTACTCCGGAGCATCCGATAAACGCCGTGCAGTCGTGCACCCGAAGTACATCCGAGTGCAGCTCCGAGAAAGAAACACATCTCGAGCGCATGTACTGTATATCATCGTATAGAGCACGCGATGTGGCATCTTTTATTTTAAGCCCGCGATTGGTCGATCTTCCCGTGTGCACGCTTTATATGCAAATCCATGCAAATCCGTCTAGATAAGCCGTGTCGGCGACGACGACAGAGCAACAAACGATTATACTTTACCGTATCTATAGAGCGCCGCCGAATTCACCAAAATTGCAACGATAACAGATAACTCCACGCTGCTAGTTCTGTTCTTCGCGACTAAACTTCTTTTGTCTCTCTCTCTCTCTCTCTCTCTCTCTCTCTCTCTCTCTCTCTCTCT